TGTGCCCACGCTGCCCTCTCAGTCCCAGCACCCGGGTCTGTTACCGAAGACCATTGTGCCCCTCCCACCTTTGTTCCCACCTCTGTTTCCCCTTACTCTCTAATAGCTTCAGTTCTTCAGTCTTATTTCTAGGGTTTATTTTGGTTTGGCTTTGACAGTTCCTTTTTTTCTTATTGTTGGTGATAATTTGTTTTCTCCATATTCCACATATGAATGAAATCATCTGATAATTTTCTTTCTCCTGACTCAGCATAGTACCTCCAGCTCTGTCCGTATTATCACAGATAGCAAGAGTTCAGCATTTTTGTACAGCTGAGTGGTATTTTGTTGTGTGCACACGCCACATCATCTTAATCCACTGCTCTGTTGATGGGCATTTAAGCTATTTCTATACTTGGCCATTGTAAATAGTGCTGCATGAACATAGCAATGCATCAACCTCTCATATTAGTGGTTTTGTATTATTTGGGTGGATACCTTATATTGCAGACATATTTTTAATATTTTGAGGAATATTCATACTGTTTTCTATAGGTGATGGACTAGTCTACATTCCTACTAACAGTGTACAAGGGTTCCTTTTTCTCCAAAACATTTTGAACATTATTATTATTTTGATATGGGTCATTCTCACAGGGGTGAGGTGGCTCTCACTGTGTTTTTTTTTTTAAAAAGATTTATTTATTTATTTATACAAGCACTGGGTACAGTCAGAAGCGCGGGAGGGTGAGAGAATTCACCAGAGCCAGAGGGGAGAGCAGAGCAGGCAGACTGACAAGGTACACTGCTGAGGGGAGCAGCAGGGGGCCGGGGATCGAACTAGTGCTGTAGAGGCTGCGAGCAGCTTCACAACCCAGCGCTCAACCGCTGCACCACTGGGGAGGCCCAGCTCTCACTGTGGTTTTGATTTGCATTTCCCTGAAAATTTATGTGCCCCTTAGTCACCTATATGTCTTCTCTGTAGAAGTGTCTATTCTATTATTCTTTCCATTTTTAAAGTTGGGTTATTTACTATCTTTTTGTTGAATTATGAGTTCTTTGTAAATGTATGAACATGTTGACAGATGTATGAAGTGCAAATATATTTCCTCATTTAATAGGGTGTCTTTTTACTTTTGACTTCTATTTCATTTATTTCTGCTCTAATTTTTACTATTTCCTTCTACCGGCTTTTGGATTCATTTTTTTCACTTTTAGTCCCATAAGGCGTAATGCTAGATCATTTATCTGAGGTCTTTCTTCGTTCTTGATGTGGGAGCTTTTACTATATACTTCCCTCTTAGTACTGCTTTTGCTGCATCCTATAAGTTCTAGTAGGTCATGCCTTCATTTTCATTTTCTCTTAGCATTTTAAAGTTTTTCTCTGATTTCCTTATTAAACCAATATACATTAAACACAATATTATTGTGCTATTAAACCAATAACACAAATTTAGTTATGTGCTATTCAGCTTCCACATATTAGAGATTTTTCATGCTTTCTTTTTGCAATTTCTATTTTAATACCATTATAAACAATCTTCATGAATTTATTGATACTTGTTCATAACCCAACATGTGTTCTATTTTGAAAATGTTTCATGTGTACTTGAGAAGAATGTGTACTCAGCTTTTGTGGGGTGTAGCACCCTATAAATATATAGCAGTCCCACTGGTCTAATTCCTCATTTAAGGCTATTTTTTTCTTGATGATTTTCTGTTTGATTGATATGTCCACTGATGTAAGTGGGATGTTGAAGTTCCCTACTACTATTGTATTGAGGTCAATATCTGTTTTTAGGTTTATAATGGTTTCTCTTAAGTATCTTGGTGCACCTTCATTTGGTGCCTACATATTGATGAGTGTTATATCTTCCTGATTTAGTGATACCTGAGTCATTATATAACAGTGTAACCATGGCTAGCCCTCTTTTTTTCCCTCCATATTCCATTTGCTTGTAAGATTGTTTTTGAAGCCATTTTGTTTGCATCTATGTTTGTCTTCGGAGCTCAGATGGGTATCCTGGCAACAACATAAAGTTGGGTTTTGTTTTTGGATCCATCCAATCATCTGCTCTATGCCTTTTGATTGATGAGTTTAGTCCATTTACATTTACAGTGATTATTGATACATAGGTATTTACTATTGTCATTTGTCTTTAGTTTTCTGGTTCTATATAGTTAATTATTTATTTTTTGTATGTTTTCTTTGCTTTGGTTTAGATAAAAATGCTCCTTTCAACATTTCTCATGGGGAGGTCTAGTATTTCACATTTCCTTCATCATTTATTTGTCGGGGATGGACTTCATTTCTCTCTAATATCTGAAAAAGAGTGTTGCACAACATAATATTCTTGATGGACAGTTTTTTCCTTGAGTATTTTTGACTACAGTATTTCATTCTCTCCTTGCCTGTAGAATTTCTGCTGAGAAGTCTAATATAAGCTTAATGGGAATACTTTTATATGTTATCTGCTTTTTATCTCTAGCTGTCATCAAAACTCTTGCTAGTTTCATTATTGTCTTGGTGTATGCCTCATTGCATTTTGGCAACCAACTGTTTTTATAGCTTCACAGACTAGTATATTTAATTCCTTCCCCAGGTGTGGAAAGTTTTCCTTTATTATTTCCTGGAATATGTTCTCTATTCCTCTCTCTTTCTTCTCCCCTTCTGGAGTACCCATTATTTTTATTTTGGCATTTTTAAAAAATATTTATTTTTTTATTTATACAGGCACTGGGTACAGTCAGAAGTGTGGGAGGGTGAGAGAATTCACCAGAGCCAGAGCGGAGAGCAGAACAGGCAGACTGAGGAAGTACACTGCTGAGGGGCACAGCGGGTGGCAGGAGAGGTCTGTGTGCCATGTGGGATCCACACCCAGTGGCCGGGGATCGAACTGGTGCTGCAGAGGCTGCGGGCAGCTTCGCAACCCAGCACTCAACCGCTGAGCTACTGGGGAGGCCCTATTTTGGCATTCTTAATGGTGTTAGATATATCTTGAATTGGCTCTTCATTTTTTAAGCATCTCACTTCTCTTTTTCCTTCCACCTGAAACTTTTAGTGCATTGATATTTTTGAGGCCACTGATTTGATCCTTCATTTGATGATTTATTCTACATACATAGCTTTGTCTAAAGTTTTTGCTTTTATTTATTGCAATTTCACCCTCCTGAATTTATGTCACTTTCTTATTTAAAGTTTCAAATTCTACCTTCTATTTATTGATTTTCTTTTTGAGCTCAATAGCTTGCTTTTCTGAATTTTGTTTTATGTCTTTGATTAGTTTTTTTAAGTTCTTTTGCATTTCTTTGATTGTCTTTCTGAGTTCTCTTGTGTTATCTTGACTTAAATTTCTGAGTTTTTCATCAATCTCTTTCAGTTTCTTCATTATAGCCATGCTCAGCTTGTTATTAGATAAGGAGATGTAATCTTCAGTCTTTTTGTGTTTGAACTCTGGATAATAGTTCTTAATTTGTGATGTTATAATCTCTTGTTATCCTTCTCACTCTCCCTCACCAGGGGTTTGCTGTTATCTGTGAATGCTTGTTTTTAGGTCTATTTCCAGGGCCCTCCAGAGTTCATTGAAGACTCTGGTGGGGCCTGCCTTTGTTCTTATTTCAGGTTCTGACCTGGAGCTCACTGAGACCTGACCTATTCTGTTCTCTCTCATCCAGTCCTACCCTCATGACTCATTTGATCATATTGTAGAGAAAGCCTAACTAATCATTCGTGACCATTTTTTTTTTTAAGAAATTAAATCCAAGGTGGAGGAAGAGTACATAAAGAGTCTTGACAAGTTTTCTTAAAAGAGATGGCTGAAGAATGCATATCAATATAAACTTTTCACAACACAAGTCAAAATTTAAAAAAAAACCTTTCTCTTTCCCTCAATATTTCCTTTTATAGGAACTTATCTAAAGAAATTAATCAAAGATGGAAACAGAGACTGATCTGTAAAAATGGGTATCAGAACACATTTTATATTTATAAGAAGAATAGAAACAACTTATATATTGAATAGTGGGATTTTAACATTAATTTTGATATAGCAGGCAGCTATTAAAATAACATTGTGGAAGAAAGGCTATGATTTGGGAGAAACTTCATGACACATATTACATTTAAAATAACATGATAAAAAAACTGTACTTTCTATAGTAATCAAACTTTGGTTGTATACACTTTGGAGGGGGGAAAGGCTGGAAGGGAATCTGTGACAAGGTAAATACTAATTAGTGTTGTTTATGTGGCTATATTTTATTTTTAACATTTCTCTGAATATTCTTATTTTTTAAATGAGAAGGTGGACATATACTGACTTTAAACTGATTGAAAATCATTAAGAATGAATTTTTGGATATTTTTTCATGTCCTGTGCCTCAGACACAGTGCAGATATGGAAGACAAACATCATGTCCTAGCATGATGGCACTCACAGCAGACATAGTTTTGGCTATTGTTTGAGCTCTTTGAATCCTAAACCACCTGAATCCTGCAGATGGATCTTACCCATTGTTTTGTTCAGTTTCTCTCCCTGGGTTTGCAGGACACTCATTTGTTAATTTCAGAGATTTAGCCCCTTGTCCTTATGTTTTTATTCTTAATTCTTTCACAGAGGCTCTCTGCTCTAAAATATTGAAAAAAAAAAAAAACTCAGTCCAGCAGCCATTCACACATACACCCATGACCCATTTAACCTATGAGAGAGAGGCCTCCAGAGCAATAGACACTGTCTGGGGCAATGGAGCAAGGAAGAGAAGAAAACCCAAGCTGGGGTCCCCATTCACCAAAGGTCTCAAGAAGGTAGGGAACAAGGAAACCCAGCAGTGGTTAGGAGGAGGGATGGGCAAACAGGGTGAGAAGAGCCCTTCACTTCATAGCTGTACAGCATAAACTCCCTGAAGAAAGTGGCCCAGGAAAGAAATGGCCCAGTGCTGTGTAGACAAAACCATAAAGGTGCCCCTCGCCCATGGCAACTGTCACCTCAGGTCTCAGAGTTTCTGAGCGGGACGTGTATTACCTCATTGTTGGTGCCAACATCCAGCAGGACAGGGAGGCACTGCTGTGGGTTCACTCCTCCACAGGCGGTATACAGGGCCAGCTTGCCCACTGGGATGCCCATGCCATAGCAGCCCAGGTCTCCCAAGCCCAGGATGCGTTCCCCATCAGTAACCACCACGGCCTGGAAAACACACAGACCATCAATCAATCAAAACAGTATCTCTGGTGATAAGTACTCATTCAGTAGCCTCAGTGCAGAAGATCTGACAGTGAATGCTCACTGGAGTGACAGAAGATGCTGGAGGATGAGACAGCTTCTCTTAGATAAGACCAAAGGCATCCATTTAATGGCAGGAGTGGGTCCTCCCACTCCCCTTTTGGCAGGTTGGTGAGAACCCACAGAGGTAGAGAACAGAAAAACATTTTTCTTGCATTCTCAATTTCAGATAAGGGCTATAGAAATAGCTGGAGGGAGACCGCATCTAGTCACTCTTCCTCAAAGAAGTTAAGCAAAAACTCTCAGTTAGAGATTCTGAGGGCCAGGGAGGGAAGAATACAATAAATGGAAATAATGAATGGAAACCAAGTAATCATGCTAATGCTACAGCCCCAAGGGCTAGAGACTAATGCAAGTGCTCTATATGACCTGCTCCTGGGGTAGCAGAAGTCCAATTTGCTAAAGACAGAACACCCTGTAACATCTGCTAGGGTCACTATTTTTCAGGAAACCAGGAGGGATTTCAAGCTATTCCAGAATTACCTTTGTGTTACGGTAAATAGTCACCAAGAGTATAGTAGGTACTAGTCATGGTGCTAGTTCAAGTTTTACCCACTTTGAATTAACAATGTTCGTGATGAATAAAAGGAAACCAATTAAGGGATCAGGAAAATAATAATAATAAATAAAAAACCAAAATTAACAAGCAACTATAAACCAGAGACACTCTGCAGGAGAGGGGGAAGGAAAAGGATCAAAATAGGGGAGAGGGGAGACACAGGGGACTAAGGTGATGGCGCATGGGTGAATTGGTGGTGGGAATTTTATGGGGACTACACCTGAGAGGAGGAAGCAAACACTGTATAAGAATTAACAATGATGTAAAATATATATAAATTTAAAAAAATAAAAAAAGCTGATGAAATTGATGGTGATAATAGAAATAACCGCATGATTATGATGTACAACCCTTTATTAATTCATTTGATACATATTTAACTACTTTGTTTTTACTTTACAGTAGACACTATGCCAGATCCTGGGGAAGGAGCTTGCTGATCTGTGAAAACACATATGCATGAATCCAGGGCACACAAAGAGAGATGGAACATATATACTTATAATGAGGACTCTGGGAGGAAATTATGAGTATATGAGAGCAGCACTGAGAGACAGGAGAGTTACTTCTTGTTTAAACCTTGGACAGGTGGAGATTGCTTATTGGGGTGCAGCTAGAGAAAAAGACATTTTATGCAACAGGAAGTTAAGATCCATGGTAGAGAAGGGGGATGGATGTAGGTGCTATGTGGAGAACAAAAAGGTAGGGGTTGCATGAAAGGAGAAAAAAAAGTCAGGTCATGGAGAACACCTCAGGGTGACAGTGAAGTTGTCAGAGGTCACTCTATCCTTTTGGTTCCTTCTATCCCTAAATGAATAAAGTATATGAGGTCCCCAATCCCTCCATTGGAAAATGATTTTGGGTCAGAACTTAGGACCAGCTTTGAACTTTGGGTGTCCTTGTTTGGCCTTTATGCATTTTATCCATTGGCAAATAGCAGTCAGTTCAATCTGTGCAAGGACAACATGAGGCATGGGGGATAAAGAGCCCCATTCTTGCCCTGGAGGAGTTTATGACTCAGTACCAAGGGGCCACCATGGACTATCTTTAGTTCTGCTTTCTGTCTAGGGATGACAATACTCAAGGCCTGGAACTGACTTTTAGTAGAAATAGGTTTACAATTTCTTTAAAAACACTCCTTTGTTTCTGGGACTAGGACTCTGGAGATTGCAACAGGCCCCTGAAGATCCTGCTATTTACTGTGTCTAGGGAGAGTGCTTGCAACCTGCATCTCACCTTATCACCCATGCCGTGGTAGGTAGGCAGATCTTCAACTGTTACCCCACTTAACAGGTGAACAAACTGAAGTTCTAGGACCTTCATGTTCTGTACATATTTGTTAAGTTTCAGTCATGCCAAGTCTGGATGTTTCCACATTAGTTACCTTAGAAAGATTAGATGACCTCCCAAGTTTACCTTGGGGCATTTGAGGATTCTCCTCACTCCTCCCAGATATTTTTTTTTAAAGATTTATTTATTTATAGAAGAACTGGGGTACGGGCCAGAGGTGCGGGAGGGTGAGAGGATTCACTGGAGACAGAGAGGGGAACAGAACAGACAGACTGACGAAGTACACTGCCGAGGGGAGCAGCAGGGAGACCGGAGAGGTCTGCTCGTCATGTGGGTTGCTCCGAGGCCGGCGGGGATTGAACCAGCACTGCAGAGGCTTCGGACAGCTTCACAGTGCTGCCTTCAACCCGCTGTGCCACCGGGGAGGCCCTCCTCCCAGATATACTGAATTTACCTATAATCTCTCATCTCTACATTTTCTCTCCCCAAAAGTCTCCAGTAATGTATATCCTGTCCATTATAATCTTCTGTGACTTTTCCTAGTACTTGTTGTATCTACCACCACCAAGCCTCTTCACCAGTCCTTCCTGCTTCCCACAAACTTTTATTAATTACTTACTGCTTGCCAAGTCCTGTAAGGTGCTGCTTAATGAATCTTTTTTTTTTTTTTTTTGCTACTTAATGATTTGATGGTGATAGCCTTTGGGTTCTTAGTTAACATTTTTAAAAAATGCATGTTTCATCTCACCAAACAGCTTAAAGATTAACAGCAAGGGTTTTGGAGTCAGATAACCAGTATTTGATTCTAGATTGATTCTCAGCTCATTGATAACACACCATCCTGCGTCAACAGATAACTTCTCTGAGTTTCAATTTTTCAAAATATGAGGATAATATAATAATAGCACTGAACTTAGCAGGTGGTTGTACAGATGAAATGAAATAATATATGTCTCATTGGAAAATTTGGGGTGCCTTGTGTAGAGTAAATAATCAGTAAATGGTCTTTGCTTTTAAGATTACAATGATGATGATGATTGTTTGGAGCAGAGATTATATCTTAGAATTTTAAAAAGAATGTCCCAAATTTTATTTGTTTTAAAATATCTAAGTAACATTGAAGTATAATATTTTCTAGGCTTTAGGTGTGCCTTGTTATAAAACAAAGTCTGCATACAATTCATGATGCTCCATAGGTGTAATTGCACCCTTCAGCATGCACTTGACCCCTTTCACCACATTTATTCACCCTCCTTCCCCCTTCTGTTAGAACTTTTGATTGATTCATCTCTGTTTCAGCATCACCACAGTCAGGTCACGCAGCGATCATCTGTTATGTAAGTGAGAATGAGTGGGATGCCAGAGGAGACAGGCAAACACAGCTTTTTTAAAAAATTTCTATGTTTTTTACATCATTTTTCATTTTTTGCACAATGTATGCATTTTCAACTTGGTTACATTCCCCATACAATTCTCACCCCCCTTATTTTGACCCTAATCCCTCCCCCCCGTCCTCCCCCAACCCCCATAGTGTGTCTCTGGTTTATAGTTGCTTGTTGATTTTGATTTCTTCTTTATTGCAATTAGTCTTTTTCCTGGTCCCTTATTTAGGTTTTCTAGATTCCTGCTATGAGTGAGACCATCCGGTATTTTTCTTTTTCTTTCTGGCTTGTTTCGCTGAGCAGGATCCCTTCCAGCTCCATCCATGTTGCTGCAGATTGCACAAGCTTATCTTTTTTGATTGCTGAGTAATATTCCATGGCGTATATGTACCACATCTTCTTGATCCAGTCATCTATTTTGGGGCATTTGGGTTTTAGGAACGTCTGATGTAGTTCAACAGAATTCTAACCTTGACACCTTCATCCATCCCAATGACTCCTGCTGTCATCTCTAAGCAGGTTACACTTGTAACTGTCTCAGACATTGCACTTGGATTTCCAGTCACCCTCTCAGATTTCCCCAGGCCGGAACCAGATGAATTCTCTTTTCCTGTTCACTTTTTGCCAAGACTTGGCACTAGAATCTGGTCCAAGTTTAAGCACCTGAACAGCTGATACCCAGTGGCAGAGGGTGCGCCTCCCTTGGTGTCACTAACCGGCTGCCTCTCAGCACCTCTTCCCCAGAGCTTAGGAACAGAAATGAGGGAAAGATATAGGAGCTTGGGAAACCTGTTCTCAGCTGAGTCTTCTGCCGGCTCAGGGTAATAGCCACTGTGGGAAAGAGTCAGAAAAGCCGTTCTCACTCCCCTTTGTGATTTATGCTGGACAGTTCTGTGGCTGGACCCATCCCCTTCTCCCTGAATAAGAGGGCCCCCCACAACTTCATAGCCCCCCAGTCGTAGGCTTCGGCTTCATTTCCCATGAGCCTGCTTTTCTGACATCTCTGTTTGGGGCTCTGCCTTCTGTCTGGAAACCCACAGAAAGTCATCTTTTATCTTCCCAATTAATTCAGAAATGCCTCTGAACCACCCCTCTCTAGTCAAGCAGAAACCAAGGGGCCAAAGACACTAAGCCTTGAAAAATTGCCTCCCCACCCAACCAAAGGGCTCTGGTGGCAAAAACACTTTTTCATGAGTGACTGCAGGCAATTTACTTAACCTCAACACGTTCATCTGAGCACAGACACACCCCCGCCTATTTATCAGGATCCACCAGGGGTTTTGGAGGCCTTTTCTACCCAGGTCGGATCATGATGATGGTGGGAACTGAGTGAAATGGAGATGGGGGAAGTCTCAGCTCCCCCATTATGCCAGGAGCGGTATAATGAACAGATCCCCTTACCTAGGAAGAGAGACCTTCACCTCCTTTTTGTAAGGCAACTGGAGAAAACACACCAGTCTACAAGAGAGTCTGTGGTTTAGAATGTTCTGAGCCTTTGAAAGGGCAGCCCTGAGGGTCAGGAAAATAACCCTTCTGCAAAATGCAAGTGAAGAGGACAGTGGGGACTGGGAATTCTGGGCTGTCTGGTCAGCTCTAATAGACATACTTACTTGCTTGTTTGCTTGCAAATATTCTAATTGACTTATTTACTTGCAAATATTCAGAGCTTCTGCTTTTTCCAGAGAAGTCAGAAATTAAAATTTTTTTAGGTGAAACCTCCTAATTTTAAAATGTTGCCAACAAATTCAAATTTTCAAAAATTGAGGGGCAAACCAAAGACCAAATCAGGTTGCCTGTTTGTGGCCTGTGATTCCCAAGTAAGGGGCCCTCCATGGATTTTCTGAGCACTGTACAATCTCTTCCCTGCATTACTGTGTGTGCTACAACTACCCATTCCTGTGCCCTTCAGCGTTACACAGACCTTGTCATGGTTAATGCTCACATAGGGAAGCAAAGTTCAGAGAGGCTATCTGCAACTACGGCAGATAGTTTGCAGATTCAAGACCAGAACCCAGGTCTGCCTGACTGCAAATCCAGAGCTGATTCTTGGATGTGGTTATCAGTTAAGCTCAAGTTTTTTCTGTAGGAAAACAGGATAAAGGGCTGAAGGGTGGAGGTGGCCTTAGACAGTCACAGGGAGAGTTTCTCCCTGCACAGTCTATTGTAGTTGTTTACAGGCCAGTCTGTAGACGATGGGCTCCCAAGGTTGGGCCCACACACCTTCTTTACCCCTGAGGCCCCAGGGAATGCTTACAAAGCAGATGTTGGTGAAATGGTTGTTGAATGCATCTGGATGAGATGCCCAGACTAGATTCACTCATGTATCTTCTGCTTCCCTTAGAGGCTCTAGGTGTCTCCCTTTACTTGAGACCCACATATGTCCCACTTCTTCCATGGTGACCCCAAAGCCTCTGACACTCTTCTAAAGTCATGACAGTTGCCAGCTCCATTTCCTGGTAATAAGCACTTAGTACTTGGAAGGTGGCCAAAATATGTCTGTTGAAGTCAGTGGATATTTAACAGCTAAGGTATGAGGAATTCATATGCTGGTTTCTCAACTTAATTGAAGCAATTTGGGGTCAGGACTGTGCTTCTTGTCCTGCATGCCTTCAGGCAGAGCCATGGCTGCAGTCTGGTAAGTTGTACCCTAACAGGAGAATCAATTGGAACCTGAAATCCATCCCAGGAGCTCTGACCAAGCCATGTGTCAGTAGAGGAAAGAGAGCCTTTTTCTTACTGATCGAGCAGGGTGTCTTTTTGTCATTCTTCTTAATATCTCATAACTTGCACAAAACCAACTGAGGTATTGGCGGAGACCTCACCTCTCTGCTCTTGGCACAGTGCCTGGTATGGGAAGATGCTCAACAAGTCCATCCACTGAGTTCATTCAATTCAGCAAGCATGTACTGAGCACCTACTGTGTCCAAAGTTTCACAAGATTGAACTGTCCAGGAAGGTGTTTTGTAGGATTTCAGCAGCATGACTATGCAGGGAGCCTGGATAGATTTATTTTGTTGAGGGAGCTGGCTTCCCTTAAAGTCCTCAAGATTTTATTATAACTTCATCTTAGACACATCCTGGAAATATGCTTCTTCTGGGACTAGGGCCAAATCCTGCAGGATCAATGCCTGCGTGTAACTGGAGGGCAAGCAGATGGGCAGGAGGGAGAAGTACAGAGCAGCTCCATACCCAGATAGAGAGGCATGAAATGAGCACATCACTATGCCCAGGTCTGGAGTCCAGGGACTCTGGCCATCACTTGGACCTGGTCCTGAGAGTCAAGACCCAGCCCTACCTGCTCTTGTTCTAAATGCTACCACTTCCCTGAGAGCCCGGAGTAGGAGGGATACCAAGAGAGAGAGTTAGGGTGCAGGTGTACTTGGTGTCAGGGATCAGAGGAGGTGCAGGGCACTGCAGGAATGGAGGGAAGAGGCTCTGGAGAAAAACAATGATATCAAGCCTCAGTTTCCCAGTCCAGGCAGGAGGGGGTGGGTAATGCCCTGGGAGGTACTGGTGTGGGGTTCAGTCAGCTCCAACACCTCCCAGCCCATGTGCCAGAAAACCTCTTACCAGGCACTAGCAAATGTTTTGCATTTTTTCTTCATTTTGTTTGCAGAAGTGACAATGGTAGATGCTAGAGTCCCTTAAACTTTTCCGTAGAAGCCCCTTTGGCAGGAGGTAATCTGGGGGTGTAGCTATATAGATGCTAACAGGTTCCTACAAAGCTGCATGCTTTATATTATAAATTAGTACAAATTTTGCATTTGACATCCTGTTTATTCTATAAAATTGTTTTCTCCTTAAATTTTTTGAGTAAAATTGATGCTCTAGGTGTTGGAGTGGCCTGATGCAGGTGAGGGGTTGAGCTCCACCCCCTGAGGTTGGTACCACCTGAGCCAGACAGGACCAGGCCTGATAACTGTGCAGTTACTCAGCCCCAACTCCACCTTGACGTCCTGAGCAAGCTTCTGGGAAGGAGGTGGAGCTGAGCACTCATTTCTGTGAGCCTTTAAAAGGGAGTGAGGCATATGTGCTCTCCTCTTTTTTTGGTTTTTGTTTTCATTTTTGTTTTGTTGGAGCTACCATGGAAGGCAGCTGCCCTACTGGGTGGTGAACTTTCACCCCCACCTCCCAGGATGAGGGAGCCCTGACCTCTGCAGCAGTGGACCCCTGCCCCGCCCCGCCCGCTCCTGCAGCTGCAACTCCATCTTGCACGCTGCCTGGTCACTGGACCTTCTCCCTCTCTTCCCTCAGGGGTTGCATTATTTTCTCCTCTCTTTTGCAGCATCAAAGGCCCTTTTGTTTACATTTGTGGTGGTGGTGGCCGGGCCCAGAACTGGTGAGAGAGGTTCTGACTCAGTGATAATTTTTAGACTCTTTGCTGGGTAACACAGGAAGAAACAGCAGGTTTTTTTGGTCACTCTGAATATCTCCCCCAACTAGCCACCCCCGCCCCGCTCCCCACACGCACTGTTACGGCCACCCAGGTGTGAGGGCATTTCTCGTCATAGGGGTTTTCTACTGGTGCAGAATATCCCCATCATACACCTTACCCTCTCCAGGGTCGACCTGTCCAAACTCTACCTTCCATTCAAGTCCCTTCTCTGCAGTCGCCTCTCCAGGAATCCTTCCAGATTCCCCTCAGATCAAGAGTCATCTTTGCCTCTTTGAACGCCAGGTCTTTCTGGATGTTTCCTTCATCTCGGATCAAGTTCCACTTTGTTAGTCTTTGTGTGTCTGTTTTGTTTTCCTCATGAAAAGTCAGCTACTTAAGAAGAGAGTCTCTTTCTGCTTTCTCTCTGTATCCACCATGCAAACTGGCAGTGTTTATTTATTATTTAAATGGTATCACATTATAACATTATGTAAGTTTTAGGGGTTCAGTGATAAAACAACATCTGTATGTATTACATTAATTTCACCACTGAAAGTCCAATTCCACCCTCCTCCATTCAATTGACCTGCTTTATGCAATTTATCCACCCCCTCCTTTTTGGTAAATACTCCCTTGTTCTTACCGTCTACAAAACTTTTTGTTGGTTTATATGTTTTGTTTCTTTATGTAGTATGAATTCAAATCACCCAGTGTTTGTCTTTCTCCACCTGTCAGTGTATAATTTGGTAGGTTTCATCACACGCTGGGCATATCATCAGACCACACTGCTACTATTACCATTACGAAATTTCTCATGGTGCTTGTTTAATTCAAGCCTCTGCTCGAGGTGCATTTGCGTTTGGCTGTGACAGGCCTGTGATCCAGGTCTGAGAAAGGGATGCAGCTTCTTGTCTTCAGCATTTTTCCAGCTCTTTTTTTTTTTTTTTATAAATGGGAATGATTGTGGTCCAGGGTGAAAGGATTTACCCGACAACAGAGCACTAGTAGAGAAAACAGGGTCATACCTTAATGTCATCTTCTGGCCAAGAGTTTAGCATTGTTGCAATGTGGCCCTTGTCGTGGATGGTGATAAACAGCCCGCTAGGAGAAACAGAACACAGACAGACGGTCAGACTAGGAACAGAGCAAAGACCACAAGTACCGGGTGTCATTGTGGCTCTTAATTTGTCCAGAGACATAAGTTTGGGTCCTTGCTCCAAACCCCAAAAGTTCAGAGGGCCCTGCTCTGCCTGCCTCCAATTGTTCCTTTCCACAGGCAAGACATCTATAGGACAGCGTTACTGTGGCTGGACACATCGGCCTGTAGCTGTGTCTGGAACTTGGACACGTGGGTTGGGGTGTCCAGACACACGGACACGAGGCCCCTTGCAGTGTGGCGTGGGAAGAGTGCTGGACCCCAGGTTTGAGCCCACTTTTCCTGCCTCATTAAAATCTGAGAATTCTAAATTTAAGCTTGTCCTTCCAGACCATCATGAAGTTATATTTGTAAGGATAGGGGTGTGGAACATACTTTATTACCTCACTTAGGACTTTCATAAAATTTTTTTTATTTTTTAATTCTCTCACTTTTATTTTATTTTAATATTTTTTTATTCTTTAATATTCTTGCCAGGTATTTCTTTTCTTTTTTTTATTTAAATTTTATTTTTATATTCCCCATACAATTACAACCCCCTTATTTTGACCCCAATCCCTCCTTTCTCTGCTCCCCACCCCCCATAGAGTGTCTCTGGTTCATAGTTGTTTGTTGATTTTGATATTTTCTTTCTTATAGTTATTCTTTTTCCTGGTCCCTTATTTAAGTTTTCCAGATTCCTGCTATGACTGAGACCATCCGGTATTTTTCTTTTTCTTTCTGGCTTATTTCGCTGAGCATGATCCCTTCTAGCTCCATCCATGTTGCTGCAAATTGCATGTGTTTATCTTTTTGTGTGGAGATTTCTTGACCTACGAAACATAGAGCTTCCGTATGATCCAGCAATTCCACTCCTAGGTATTTACCCAAAGGACACAGAAACATCAATTCCAAAGAGCACCTGCACCCCTATGTTTATAGCAACACTGTTTACAATAGCTAAGCTTTGGAAACAACCCAAATGCCCAAAAATACATGACTGGATCAAGAAGATGTGGTCCATATACACCATGGAATATTACTCAGCATTCAAAAAAAGATAATCACTTAGAACTTTTAATATTTAAACTTAGGTAGGTGGACCTGAGTGTAGGTGGACCCTGGGATCTAGGAGAGGGAATATGTATCCTGGGCTGGGGGGAGGAACATGTATCCTGGTGCAGGGAATGACTAGTAGATTTTGCCACTTTCTTTTTCTTTTGTCACATGTGCCCGAGAGAGCTCCTTTTGCTCATGAATGCCAGGGTTACATGCTTAATCTGGTTTGCAGGCTGGGGAGGTGTGGGGGAACAATTTTCTCAATTCTGTCTGCCCTAGGTTAACCAGAGGACTTCCAAAACATGCTTTTCATGGTTTCATAAGGTGCTCAGACTTTGAATGCATTATTTAAATCATGCCCGAGTAATTACTATAAATACCCTTGGCACCACTCTTTGGTCTCACCAGTCTTATAAAAACCCCAACCCTGAATAAATCCATGTTCTACATCCTGTGCTCTTCAATGCACGCTGTAAGATGCAGATGGACAAAATCCTGCCCCAGGACAGGCAGGCTGACTGGTACCACTGTAAATTCATCACAGTCAGCCTGGGGGGACTCTCAACACTGACCAGTCCTTGTTCTTACAATGCTTCTCTCATCAAATTTGATTCTTTCCATTCTGCAAAGACTACTGTATGTATGTATGTATGTATTTCTATTCATTTATTTTTGTTGAAGTAACATTGACTTATGGCATTAACATTTTATAGGTTTCAGATGGACAGCCTCTTAAATCAACATCTGGATATGCTGTCTTATGAGTGCATTCTTGTTTTCATCTATCACCATACACACGAGCCCTTCTGCCTAATTTACTCACCTACCTTCCTCCTTCCTCTGGCAACTGCTATTTTATTCTTATAGCCTAAGAGGTTTTTTTGTTTGCTTGTTTTATTTTTTTAAAAAGATTTATTTATTTATTTATACAAGCACTGGGTACAGTCAGAAGTGTGGGAGGGTGAGAGAATTCACCAGAGCCAGAGGGGAGAGCAGAGCAGGCAGAAGGACCGAAGTACACTGCTGAGGGGAGCAGCGGGCGGCAGGAGAGGTCTGCGCGACCTGTGGGACCCTCGCCAGGCGGCTGGGTTCAAACCGGCACTGCAGAGGCTGCGGGCAGCTTCACAGCCCAGCGCTCAACTGCTGCGCCACCAGGGGAGGCCCTGCTTGTTTTACTTATTTCATTTGTTTTGTTTCTTTATGTACCACATGAGCGGAATCCGTGTTTGTCTTTCTCCTTGCAAAGACTATTTTAAAAATTTATCAGAGCCCAAACCTCCAACTCTCTCCCCTTCTTCATCCCCATCCCTTAGTGATCTCACCTATGATGTCATAGGAAGCCATGGGAGGGTATCTCGGGCAGCTTTCCACCACAAAACTTACAAGCTTCTTCCTCTGCAGCCAATTACTTTGTTCTTTATGTTCCAAAGAATATTATAAAGCCTTATACAGCAGATTATTCCTTCTCTCTCTCTCTCTCTCTCTCTCTCTTTCTTTCTCGTCCCCCCTCCCCACAACAACCCTGAGTTATGTCCATGTCTTACTTTTGTTTTCTGGTACTGGCAGATTACTTGGACAGGATAAACTTTCTTTAGTAACACAATAAAAGTGTTAATATTTTAAGCAACTCATGGTGTTATGTTATAAAACTTCAATGTATATATATTTAATTTAATTTAACATATATTTTACATCATTCTTCCTTTTTGTACAAAGCATGCTTTCTCTTCTCAGGTGTAGTTCCCTCAAAATTCCCATCACCATCTCACCCCTGCACTATCACCATTGTCCCTTGTGGAAGAACACATTCTCTCCCCTGTTTTGATCCCTCTTCCTCCCCGTCCCATGCAGATTGTCTCTGATTAATAGTTGTCTGTTAATTTTGTTTTTTAATTTATTATAATTATTTTTTTCCTGGTTCATTATTTGGTTCCCTTCTATTCCCCCCATAATTGAAACCACCCTATATTTTTCTGTTTCCTTCTGGTTTATTTCACTGAGCATAATCCCTTCCACCTCCATCCATGTTGCTGTGAATGGCATGAGTTTATCTTTTTTGATTGATGAATAGTATTCCATTGTGTATATGTAGCACATCTTCTGATCTAGTCATCTATTTTTGGGCATTTGGGTTGATTTCATAGCTTACATATTGTAAATAGTGCTGCAATAAACATAGGGGTACAGGTATCCTTTCGATACCTGTTGACTACTAATTAATATTTTTGTATCCTTTGGGTAGATTCCTAGGAATAGAAAAGTTGGGTCATATGGTAGCTCCATTTTCAGTAGTTTGAGGAACCTCCACACAGCTCTTCATAGTGGTTGGACCAGTTTGCACTCCCACCAACAGTGCAGGAGAGTTCCTTTTTCTTTACATCCTCGCCAACATTTGTTGTTGCTAGTTTTTTAATATGTGCCATTCTCACTGGTGTAAGGTGGTATCTCATTGTGGTTTTGACTTGCATTTCCCTGATTACAAGTGATGTGGATCATTTTTTCATATACCTGTTGGTCATTTGTACTTCCTCTTTGGAGAAGTGTCTTTTTAGCTCTTCTGCCCTTTTTTTGACTGGATTGTGTACTTTGTTTTTGTTGAGTCTCAACAGCTCTTTGTAGATCTTTGTGATCAGTCCCTTGTCAGTCATATTGTGTGCAAAATATTTTTCAATCAGTAGGGTGTCTCTTTGTTTTGGTTAATGTCTCTTTTGTTATACAGAAGATTTTTAATTTGATGTAGTACCAGCTGTTCATCTTTTCCTTCACTTTCTATGCTTCAGCGGGATGTGTCTTTAAAGATGTTTCTGAGATGTATGTCATGTAGTGTTTTACCTATATTTTCTTCTATATACTTCATGGTTTCAGGTCTTATGTCTAAGTCTTATCCATTTTGAGTTGGTTTTTGTGCATAGTGTGAATTAGTAGTCTAGCTTCATTTTTTTTGCATGTAGCAATCCAGTTTTCCCTGCACCATTTATTGAACAAACTGTCCTTGTTCCATTGTGTATTCTTTTCACTTTTGTCAAAGATTAGTTGTCCATAAATATGTGCATTTGTTCCTGAGTTTTCTATTTGATTCCATTGGTCTATATGTCTTTTTCTTCCAGTATCATAGTTTTAATTATTTTTTTGAAAGACATGAATGTGTTTTATTTTTATTATTTTTTAATAATAAATTTTATTTTTATATTCCCCTACAACTGCAACCCCCTTATTTTGACCCCAATCCCTCCCCTCCCGCCCCCTACCCCCATAGAGTGTCTCTTGTTCATAGTTTTTTGTTGATTTTGATTTTCACTTTCTTATAGTTATTCATTTTCCTGGTTCCTTATTTAAGTTTTCTAGATTCCTGCTATGAGTGAGACCATCTGGTATTTTTCTTTTTCTTTCTGGCTTATTTTGCTGAGCATGATCCCTTCCAGCGCCATCCATGTTGCTGCAAATTGCATGTGTTTATCTTTTTTGAATGCTGAGTAATATTCCATGGTATATATGTACCATATCTTCTTGATCCAGTCATCTATTTTTGGGCATTTGGGTTGTTTCTAAAGCTTAGCTATTGTAAATAGTGCTGCTATAAACATAGGAGTGCAGGTGTTCTTTGGAATTGATGTTTCTGTGTCCACTGGGTAAATACCTAGGAGTGGAATTGCTGGATCATATGGAAGCTCTATGTTTAGTAGGTCCAGAAATCTCCACACAGCTCTCCATAGTGGTTGGACCGGTTTGCACTCCCACCAACAGTGCAGGAGAGTTCCTTTTTCTCCACACCCTCGCCAACATTTGTTGTTGCTAGTTTTTTTAGTATGTGCCATTCTCACTGGTGTAAGATGGTATCTCATGGTAGTTTTGATTTGCATTTCCCTGATTACAAGTGATGCTGAACATTTTTTCATATGCCTGTTGG